CGTCATTCCGTGTTGCCCGGAGCGCTCAGCTTTGCAGCCCCGGGAGGCCACGCTGCACAGCGCCGCCGGGGCGGTGCGCCGCAGTCCCGAACGCGCGGGGCAGCGGTGGCTTCGGCACAGACCCCAAACCCTGACCGGGGCCTGCGAGCACCTGCGAAACCCGGGTGATACCCACTCATCATAGGGAGGCGATCCCGGTGTTACCCACGCCCGTGTGGAGCTGATCCCGGTGTTACCCATGCCCGTACGGAGCTGATCCCGGTGTTACCCATGCCCGTACGGAGCTGATCCCGGTGTTACCCATGCCCGTACGGAGCTGATCCCGGTGTTACCCATGCCCGTACGGAGCTGATCCCGGTGTTACCCATGCCCGTACGGAGCTGATCCCGGTGTTACCCATGCCCGTACGGAGCTGATCCCGGTGTTACCCATGCCCGTACGGAGCTGATCCCGGTGTTACCCATGCCCGTACGGAGCTGATCCCGGTGTTACCCATGCCCGTACGGAGCTGATCCCGGTGTTACCCATGCCCGTACGGAGCTGATCCCGGTGTTACCCATGCCCGTACGGAGCTGATCCCGGTGTTACCCATGCCCGTACGGAGCTGATCCCGGTGTTACCCATGCCCGTACGGAGCTGATCCCGGTGTTACCCATGCCCGTACGGAGCTGATCCCGGTGTTACCCATGCCCGTACGGAGCTGATCCCGGTGTTACCCATGCCCGTACGGAGCTGATCCCGGTGTTACCCATGCCCGTACGGAGCTGATCCCGGTGTTACCCATGCCCGTACGGAGCTGATCCCGGTGTTACCCATGCCCGTACGGAGCTGATCCCGGTGTTACCCATGCCCGTACGGAGCTGATCCCGGTGTTACCCATGCCCGTACGGAGCTGATCCCGGTGTTACCCATGCCCGTACGGAGCTGATCCCGGTGTTACCCATGCCCGTACGGAGCTGATCCCGGTGTTACCCATGCCCGTACGGAGCTGATCCCGGTGTTACCCATGCCCGTACGGAGCTGATCCCGGTGTTACCCATGCCCGTACGGAGCTGATCCCGGTGTTACCCATGCCCGTACGGAGCTGATCCCGGTGTTACCCATGCCCGTACGGAGCTGATCCCGGTGTTACCCATGCCCGTACGGAGCTGATCCCGGTGTTACCCATGCCCGTACGGAGCTGATCCCGGTGTTACCCATGCCCGTACGGAGCTGATCCCGGTGTTACCCATGCCCGTACGGAGCTGATCCCGGTGTTACCCATGCCCGTACGGAGCTGATCCCGGTGTTACCCATGCCCGTACGGAGCTGATCCCGGTGTTACCCATGCCCGTACGGAGCTGATCCCGGTGTTACCCATGCCCGTACGGAGCTGATCCCGGTGTTACCCATGCCCGTACGGAGCTGATCCCGGTGTTACCCATGCCCGTACGGAGCTGATCCCGGTGTTACCCATGCCCGTACGGAGCTGATCCCGGTGTTACCCATGCCCGTACGGAGCTGATCCCGGTGTTACCCATGCCCGTACGGAGCTGATCCCGGTGTTACCCATGCCCGTACGGAGCTGATCCCGGTGTTACCCATGCCCGTACGGAGCTGATCCCGGTGTTACCCATGCCCGTACGGAGCTGATCCCGGTGTTACCCATGCCCGTACGGAGCTGATCCCGGTGTTACCCATGCCCGTACGGAGCTGATCCCGGTGTTACCCATGCCCGTACGGAGCTGATCCCGGTGTTACCCATGCCCGTACGGAGCTGATCCCGGTGTTACCCATGCCCGTACGGAGCTGATCCCGGTGTTACCCATGCCCGTACGGAGCTGATCCCGGTGTTACCCATGCCCGTACGGAGCTGATCCCGGTGTTACCCATGCCCGTACGGAGCTGATCCCGGTGTTACCCATGCCCGTACGGAGCTGATCCCGGTGTTACCCATGCCCGTACGGAGCTGATCCCGGTGTTACCCATGCCCGTACGGAGCTGATCCCGGTGTTACCCATGCCCGTACGGAGCTGATCCCGGTGTTACCCATGCCCGTACGGAGCTGATCCCGGTGTTACCCATGCCCGTACGGAGCTGATCCCGGTGTTACCCATGCCCGTACGGAGCTGATCCCGGTGTTACCCATGCCCGTACGGAGCTGATCCCGGTGTTACCCATGCCCGTACGGAGCTGATCCCGGTGTTACCCATGCCCGTACGGAGCTGATCCCGGTGTTACCCATGCCCGTACGGAGCTGATCCCGGTGTTACCCATGCCCGTACGGAGCTGATCCCGGTGTTACCCATGCCCGTACGGAGCTGATCCCGGTGTTACCCATGCCCGTACGGAGCTGATCCCGGTGTTACCCATGCCCGTACGGAGCTGATCCCGGTGTTACCCATGCCCGTACGGAGCTGATCCCGGTGTTACCCATGCCCGTACGGAGCTGATCCCGGTGTTACCCATGCCCGTACGGAGCTGATCCCGGTGTTACCCATGCCCGTACGGAGCTGATCCCGGTGTTACCCACGCGCCCGTGCGGAGGTGATCCCGGTGTTACCCATGCCCGTATGGAGCGGATCCCGGTGTTACCCACTCATCGTACCGAGGCCATCCCGGTGTTACCCATGCGCCATATGGAGCTGATCCCGGTGTTACCCACGCCCGTACGGAGCTGATCCCGGTGTTACCCACCCGTCATACAGAGCTGATCCCGGTGTTACCCACCCGTTATACAGAGCTGATCCCGGTGTTACCCACGCGTCATACGGAGCTGATCCCGGTGTTACCCACGCATCATACAGAACTGATCCCGGTGTTACCCACGCATCGTATGCAGGTAACCCCAGTGTTGAACACGCGCCCTGGGAGGATCCGGCTCCTCCACAGCCACTGGTGGTGGCGCAGGATCAGTTACAGGGTTGACAGCGTAGAAACATGGGTATGTGCCTACCCCCGCCGCCACCCAAATTGCATACGGGGACTTGGGAAGCAAAGTCAGACATCATGTGCTACCTCAGAAGAACTCATCACATTGAGGAGAAAGAAGAAGGAGAGGCAGAGTCCGATAGCGGCAGAGCCAGGTATGCAGGAATTCATCATTTTCTTTTAAAGCAGTACTTTGCAAGAGACTTCTCAACAATCGCGTAAAAAGCTGCCTTTGCGAGAGCACCAGCCTCCTTGGTGCACCCAATATTGGCCCTGTCGGCATAAGAGAGAACAAGCAGCACGCTAACAAAATCCGTACTTGGGAAAAGATAAAACCTGCCCTGCGTGGGGCTGCCGGGGGCTCTAATCCAGAGTCTGGTCTGTTTTCCTATGCAGCTCCAGCCACGCCACCAGCTAAGATCAACCTCCACAACCCAGACAGCTACTCCTGGGAAAATAACCCAGAATCTGTATTTACAGGGAAAGACGTGCTCCGGAGGCACGACTCCTGAAAGACACCCGGAGGACGGCGCGCGGTTGCACAGGCATTAGGACGCGGCAGCGAGGAGCAGGCAATGCAGTTTTGGACGGCGTACAGAAAAGCATAAGGAGGCAGGCGAGGGCGGTGAGCATCTGCCTCGCATTTTGCAAGAAGAGTGATAAATGGGAAGGAGCTCCAAGAGCCACGACTGAAGGCATCGGCAGCCTGGAGGCATTAGGGGAGAAAAAAAGAAATTCCGACTGTCGTAGGTACAACGGAATTAGTAGACTAAGCAGGGAGACTTTAGTGATCTGTAAGTACTTGAATGAAGTAAATGGCATGAAGGGAGATGACTGGTGATACGTTAACGATTTTAATGGGGTGGAATGAAGGAAGGGCATGTTTAAGCTGAGAATCAGGGCGGAAGGCTTTTGAATGGAGAACTGTAGGCTGGAAAATTGTCTCCCTAAGGGAAGTGGTGAAAGCTTTATTGCCTGAGATTTTAAGTGCCAGATTAGGAGAAATACCAGGGGACTCATTCTGAATTTTCAGGGAGATGGGCTGAAAGACTGGGAAGGGAGGGGGAAAGGCAAGAGGCGGTGCTGACTCCAGGAATTTAGGGAGTACAGCCCAGCGCCTCTTCTGTGCTCCTTTGGCTCCGTTTTATCACTCTTCGACCGCCTCTGCCAAGAGCGAAACAATTTCAGCATTAGTTACCTCCACGAGGAAGCGATAAGAACTCCTCCGCCACGAAGAAAAGCGATTGAGAAATGGGAGTCTCGGTGGGACACCTCTAGGAATGATCCCTGGGGTGGGGAGCGGCGGAGGCTCCTTCAGCTGCCGAGGGGCCTGGCTGCGTGGCCCTGAGCTTCC